TTTATTTATTTATTTATTTATTTATTTTTGCGAACAATTTCTATAATTTAACCGCCCAGCAATTATTAAAAAAAAACCGTGCTTAAAACGGAATTCCACTTTTTCAAAGGCACTTATTAAAAGTGATAATAAATTTAAGGCATTAAAGAAGGATGGGTACAACATTGTGCTCAAAACGGAATTCCACAGGGATCTGTATTTCAAAGACACTCATTAAGGACAATGATTGAGTCAAGGCATTGCTGAAGTTTAAAAAGTATGATTTTGTGAAATGTTTTCATTATTGATAAGAATAACAAGTCTAACCACGATGAAGCAAATCATCACACAACAAAAAATAATACTTAATAGAGGTCGCGTCCCGTAGGCATGATTTCAATAATGACATTGTGCTATATGAAATGATTTTGCTTCTTCCCATATTAAAGTTTTTAATTAGCTTTTTCCATTAAACTATATTTAAATAATGCTATTTTCTAAAATGAAGCTTTTTGAATCTGAATGATATGTTCGATAAGCAACAAAACATGCAGATGTCTCGTGAAAAGCATGCATAGTTCTTTAAAGCCACACACATAAAGATGGCAACATAATTATCTTTTATGCCATATTAAAGTTTTTAATTAGCTTTTTCCATTAAATTATATTTAAATAATGCTATTTTCTAAAATGAAGTTTTTTTAATCTGAATGATATGTTCGACAAGTAACAAAACATGCAGCTATCTCGTGAAAAGCATGCATAGTTCTCTAAAGAAACACACATAAAGATGGCAAAATAATTATCTTTTATAATTAAGGGTCCATTTGGGGCAGCTTATAAGTGTCGGCGGTGTTTTCAAAACGCAGCCATTCAAAACGTCACCGTACCGTTTGGTTCGCGCCAGCTTATCTGAAACTGCGTTTGAGTTTTTACACTAAACGCAGGGCGCGGGTCGACCCCTGCGACCGGCCCACAGGTCCACAGGTCGCGTTTCAGGATAAAGCGTTTCAAGATAAGCAGTTTATCCTGAAACGCACAAGCTGCCCCAAACAGACCCTAAATCAGCTTCTTTACACTGCAGTATAATGTAATGTTTTTTTTCGGGGATAAAGAGCACTCAAATCCAACCAACACTTTAAGATTCTTGGCTAATTTCCAACAAATGTGCTTACAAATTTGAATACTATACTAATGTAACCATTGTGCCAGAAAAATTGAAACATTTATTAAAAGCCAAATCTAAATTGAATTAATTCCATCTATCATTACATCCCAATAAATATTTCATAATATGACCGCTTACCACAAATTCCATCGTTCTATCAATTAAAAATCATCATCGCGCATGGCAGCACCAATAAGGTAGTCATTAAAAACTTAAGCAAATATTGATAGAATTCTAAATAAATAGGGATAATTACAAACACACCATAAGAAACATTGATATTTACAAATTAACCCCAAACTGATTTTTTTGAACTACCCATATGATTTTTTTGAACTACAAATCTGATATTTATTCGTGTCATGATCAAACTATAAAAATGGCCATAGAAAAGAGGATAGAACCTTTAAGATGGTATCATATTAAAATAAAGGAAAAAGAAAGAAAAAACCAACTCCAAACTCAAATTTCCAATGAATTCATCCAATCAAGACTTCCTGTAAAGATGGATTCATATTATGTTACTATCTACAAAAAGAATCATTTGCCTCTATGTGTCATCCTAGTTACAAAAATCATAAAACCAACAACACCAATGACCCAAAAAAAAGGGCTAAAAATAAGAATTTATAGTAGTCTCAACTGCTCGTTGAGCATGTATTCTCCTTCCGTGACTCTTCTTACATGTTTCTATTCAAATGTCTGATGAACAAAATATAAGCCATGCCCCTACTCCCATGAGAGATGGCCGGTAGATGGATCAACAAAGGTGCGCAGGACCCAATCCCTTAGACCAGTATCATTCACCTCGCAAAATCGATTCGCCCAATCCGATGGCTCCACTGCCTTAGTCCCCAATCCCGGTGCCCTATCTTTTGATCCCACATTCTCATCGTCCTGCCAATCAGCAACATATGTAGCCACCCGCCGGTGGAACTTTTCCTTGAACACCTCCCATACCTGATACTTGTAATGGTTGATCACCATTACGCGCACATCCATGTTCATGTACTTCTTTCCATCCTTGAGATGAAAATGGTGCACAACATTGATCAAGGAGGGGTTCAATGCTTTTGGCTTTATGATCGATTTGTGACGCTCTGGCGGAGAAATGCGGCAGCTGTACCCAACCATAACGCCCTCAGGCGGAGCGCTCTTCCTGCCGGATGGCCCAAAGCTGTGGCACGTTGTGCGGAGCTCCGCCACCGATGGAGATCTCGAGTAGTTCCTTAAAACATCACGCAGTTTGAAGTTCGAAGGGAAGTAAAGGAACTCGTCTACATCAATGAATCCCACCCACTTGCAGGACTCCCGAGCACGCAGGGCACAGTGCGCAAAACCAGCCTCCTGGGTCTTCAGCCACGGCCACTCATGGAGACTGATCATGAGTTTCCACTTGGCGGAAAGCTGTTGCACAACCTGCTCGAGGTCATCATCGCTGTTGTTATCATAGATGAACCACCGCTCGACACCAATGCGCGAGTGGTATATAATCCACTCTGGGAGAAACCTTGCCTGGTTGCGAAGCATGGTGCAGACGCACATTAGATGGGCCTTGTGTGGCCGCTTCAGCATCTGTAGTGAGGGGAGGAGTTCAGGTCGGGCAATGGAGGGAAGAGGATTGCTGCCATGGCCCTTGAACCTTACAGAGACAAATGGGAGATGGTGGCGGCGTTGAAGGATGCTGAGAGGAGTGCGGCAGCGGAAAATCTCCTGGGCCGCAGAAAGGACCTCAGATGACAGAGAGAACTTGGGATGGGAGAAGTCCCAGCCGAAGGTGCACTCAAAACTGTTTGGGTTAGAAAGCCGGGCTGGGCGGAGGTTGTGTCCCTTGGCGAAGATGACAGTGGAGTTGTCGCTGGTATCGAGAACTGAAGCGTAGGCAAGGTGGTCCGAGCGGAGGGGGGAAATGGGGGGAAGCTGGGGAAGAGACGTTTGGGAGAGGGAAATGTTAAAGGCGTGAGCATTGGGTGGGAGAGGACAGCGGACGAAAGAGCCGGAGTAGGAAGATGAAAGAGCAGGGAGGCTGAGATGCGACCCACCAAATTGAGAGACAAAATAGATGCAGTGGAGATCTGCTATGGCGGCAAGCCGTTGGGGTTTCAGAAAAAGGAGGACGGAATCGGGGAAAGAGACGGCCTCGTCGATGCGGAGGCCGGCCGGAGAAGAGTAAAGATTGTAAGATATATGGTCTCGCCGAGAATAAGGGTACTCGGCAGATATGGCGTTCATGGGAGGGTTCCGCCATGTAGGGAGCAGAACGGGTCGGAAAGACACTGTAACAAAATAGAACAGAGCATCCCCTTTCAGAAAATCAGGTAAAGATGAACAGAGAAGAAAAACAATAAAAATTCTCTAATCTTATAAAACATCTAATTCTTCATTAATCTTCAAAGACCGCAAAACGTAAAAAACGAGGACATAAATCAATTCAAGCTACCGAACAACAAGAACTGAATATATCTAAATCAAGGAAAACTAATTAAAATCAAATTCGTCCAACAGAAGCAGCATGTTTCAAAACGTTCGGGACTCAAAGCAAATAATCCTGTAACAGAATTCAAACCAGCTCCGAGATTCCCAAACAAATCCAGTTGATTACCGGTAGCAGCGAAAAAGAAAATCCAACAGAAAATCAATATCAGCTAAGTTTACTCAGTTCAAAATTCGAATTGCTTCAGGAAATATTTTTCTTACCTCCGAAAAGTCGAAAAGTAGATAAGACAGCGACGATAAAAAGGGCGAAGCAGAGGAGGAAGAGAGCGAAGGGAAAACTGAAGAAGCTCGAGGATCTCGAAAACTTCCCTCCTCCACCGCCATCTCGACGGCGGCGATCCTTCATAGAAGCGTCGTCGGCACGCCGCCCTCTCATCTTCTTCGGCGGAATAGAACCAGATCCAAATCAAAGCTCCCCCGCTGATTCGACAAGTTCATGATCTTTTCTGAGCCTGAAGATCCACGCACCTCTAAAGAATTCGCAGATTCGAAGTTATCGCCCCCCTGCGCATACGAGTCGGAGAGGTATATTGGATCGACGGCAAAGCCGGCTACATCCGTTTATACCAGACGTTGGATAGAGAAGAAGATGAGCGAGGAAACAACTCGCCGGTCGCGATTTTCTCCTTGGATAAAACTATAATCTCCTTTATTCTTCTTTTAAAAAAATGAAATCAAATTGAATTTACAAAAAATGGATCAATAATTTCAAAGCAATTTCTAAAATTTTCACTCGAAATAAAAATGTTCTTCCTTTTTGTTTATTTTTCCAAAATTGGGTGGGCCGTGCTGAAATTGGACCAATGTAACGGCCAGTAATAAATGGTCGCCATCATAGAGTCCGCAAATGCCGTGCTTGTAGAAGGCTGGCGTTTCACGCCCGCCTGTCCTCACCTTCCTTGAGTTAAGCCACGATCGCCATTGCTTTGCTGGAATTTCTTAGACTAAATTTAGGGGGAACTATACTAATATCTTTCAAAAATTTTTATTTTCTTCCAAAGAAGTTTACATAAATACCCTTTATTTTTTATGTAATTACATATCTAACTCCTGTACTTCAATTTTTACATCCATAGCACATTGCCTACGATTAAAGATTTGGGTGGTATGAGTGTAAAAATTATTTTATTTTCTTCCAAAGAAGTTTACATAAATACCCCTTATTTTTTATGTAATTACGTATGTAACTCCTGTACTTCAATTTTTACATACATGGCACATTGCCTATGATTAAAGATTTGGGTGGTATGAGTGTAAAAATTGAAGTTTTGATGTTCTGTATGTGAACACATAAGAATTGGGTGTTATGTATGTTAAATTTCTCTTTTTTAATTGATCAGATGTCTAGAAGAGATAAAGAGTTAGATGAAGAAAATATTAAAATTTGTATAAAATTAAGAAAAAATATAAATTAAAATTTTAATGACTAATATTACGACAAAATTTGAAGAATGAAAATAGAAAATTTATAGCTGTGATAATAACTAATATTTCAGGTTTATGCGTAATCGTCTCAAATTAAAACTAGTTTAAAATAAAAAAAAAAAAGGAAAAATAAATCCTACGTGCTCAGTGAAAACGGTGTAGATCTTTGACTTGGATTTAACCCAAAAGTAGGGATTTTGCCTGTTTGTTTTGAGAAAAGGGAAAAATTTCTTCTATACTACATTATATGTTACAGTTAACATAAATATTTATATTTAATAAGAAATTTTTTAACGAATTAATATTATTTTTCTCAAAAATTGTCTGCGCATTTTACGCCCAATTTTACCTAACATTTAATTAAAAATTTTTTGAGGGCAGCTTCATCACGTGCATGTGTCATTCATGTTGATTGAATTTGCAGATTTGTAGTTGGTTTGATCGTGATCACATAATAGATGGAATAAAATACAGTTTTATTCAACACACTTATTTGGTATTAAAAAATGTTTTTAAAAATTTAATTTCACAACGAGCTTCTGCATGTCAAATATGTGAGCAAATTTTCACGATTTAATTAAAAATAAAAAGATAATTTTGCGTTTGCAAAAATTTCCATTTGATATTATTGAATTCAAACCCCTTATTTATAGAGGGTTTTCGGTTCATATTTATGTCATGTACTCTTAATGTACCTAGGTACGGCAGGATACCTTAGACGGTTCATAAATTGGGCTTGTGGGGCCCATCGATCGATCCGGCTGGCGTCCTTTTGGGCCGGTCCTCTATAGGGCTAGATAATCACGTGGCTGAGTAATTTTTTTTTTTGTCGAGAGCCTATGCCAGTCATCCTGAGGTTGAAAGAATCGTTCCTCTTTTTCCAAGTTGATATGATTTGGGAGGCGATGAATCTATCTATCTACACTGGCCTGCCTACTAGCTCCCTCTGGAGTGATACTTCTTTATCCGTAGAGACGCCCTGTCTTTATGGTAAGGGAAATCAGCTAGTTGAACATTCAACCTCGGACCGTCTACGGCGGGTCATGCGAGCTCATCCTGCTTCCATCGTAGTCTGTGAGGTGACATCATAATTTGTCTGCCAAATTTTCAATGTACATATTAAGTTCTTAAATTTTTTTGTTCCATGATATTGACAACTACAACAAGGACAAAAAAAATTCTTTAAGAATAATAGTGAGATTACAAAACATTCATTTATTGACATCATAAATTAACTTCCTGGACTTATGTGATCTAGATTGTCATATCTAGGACAACTTTATTACTGCGAATTTGTTCCTCTTCCAAATCTTCTTTTGCAATTCTTGGCTTGGTTATGAAGAAAGAATCTAACTTTCTGCTGAAAGCTATTGACAAGACAAACGAGTCATTCTGTGGGTGAGCCATCGAGGAAGAAGTCGAGAAGAGGTAAAAGCAGATTGAAGGCGTGAGGGTGAAGGGATTGTCAGACTTAGCTCGAAAAGCTCCGAAGGGAACTTTACCTGAGGTTGATTAGAGGAAGGTGGTTCCGGTGGTCGATTCGTCGACAAGGACTCTCAATGAAGCCCCCACTCAATCAAATGTTGTGAGTGTCCCTCCTATCGACCACTCGTCAAACTGTTTGTGGTCACCTTCTCTCTAGCGAGATAAGATCGATTAATGGCTTCCCATCTTGCAACACATGTGAGTCAATATCATATGAGGTTAAGTGGATGTTAGTATGTGGTTGACTTTTGTTCCCTTTCTTCTTCATTTTTTGTTTATGGTTCGGTGTTGATGATTTTTTTTCTTTGCAGACGCGGACTCTTTCTTTGGGAAATTGATGGTCAATGTCGGAGGTCCAATCTTACGGGTTGTTCTGACTCTTGGAGCACTGGTCTTTGTTGAAGAGGATATGATTAGCCGACCTGTTGGCCCTATCTCGACCAGTGATGAGATCCTTGAGTCCAGTTGGCCATCTCCCTCCAGGAAGTCGTCTGGGGGACATAGATGTGATCTTGGCCCATTAAGACATGATTTACAAGCTAGAATAGGAGAAATACAGGAAGAAGCGGCGGCTCTCTGATATGCCTAAAAATGTACTATTATTTATGCTATATTTTATGATTATATTGCATGTTGAAGATATGTTTTCTTGTGTTTTTGGTTGTAGGTACATCAAATTGAATCAAATTGAAGAATGTACATCAAATTGAAGAATTTGGAGTGACTGGAGCAAAAGGAACAAAAATGGACCAAAACGGAGCAAATCGGGTCGAATTGGGGTACGTCGGAGCTATGGGGGCCGAAATAGGGCACTTAAGTGCCTGTGCCTTGCGCTTAAGCACCCAAAATGGCTTATAGGAGCCACCCAGACAGAGAGGAGGGCGCTTAAGCTCCCAAAATCGGTGCTTAAGTGCCAAAAATAGTTTTCAACATATCTTCTAAAATATACATCGAATTTAAACGATTTTTGAAGAGTTGCTTCGTGTATCTCTTGGGGGATTTATTGAAAATGATAAAATATACTTTTTAGAAGGATTTGGTGCTGTTATAAGGAGTTTTGAAGAGGCACTTGAGGCACCTTTTGGAAGATTCAATGAATATGGACTTTTTTTAAGAGTCACTTAAGAATCTCTTGAGAAATTATAAATAAGGCTTGGAAAAGTTTTTAAAAGGACTCTTGAACATTGTAATCAATTGGAAGAGAAGAAGAAGACTTGGACAATAAGAAGAAGGCTTGGGCATGAGCCCCAAGTGGGGCGACAAGGTGAGAGAGAAAGAGAGAGAATGAGAGATTTCTTCTTTTCTTTTCACTTTGTTCTTGGAGAGGATTGTAAGGAGATTACTTTTTCTATACAATGAGAGTTTGATTTCCATAAAAGATAAATATTTTCATTGTATTTTTATTTGAATCTAGTACTTTGTTTGTATGGTTTCAAATTCTTATTCAATGAAAAGTTCTTGTTGTTTCTCCATTTGTAGTGAATAGTTTTCGTTACTCTTCCCTCTTGTAATGAATTAGTATGCATGTGTAGGATATAGAATTGAGTAGAGTGAGAATATATTGTGATGATTTTACTTTATTCTTCATTTTTTTTTTTGTCGAGAGCCTATGCCAGTCATCCTGAGGTTGAAAGAATCGTTCCTCTTTTTCCAAGTTGATATGATTTGGGAGGCGATGAATCTATCTATCTACACTGGCCTGCCTACTAGCTCCCTCTGGAGTGATACTTCTTTATCCGTAGAGACGCCCTGTCTTTATGGTAAGGGAAATCAGCTAGTTGAACATTCAACCTCGGACCGTCTACGGCGGGTCATGCGAGCTCATCCTGCTTCCATCGTAGTCTGTGAGGTGACATCATAATTTGTCTGCCAAATTTTCAATGTACATATTAAGTTCTTAAATTTTTTTGTTCCATGATATTGACAACTACAACAAGGACAAAAAAAATTCTTTAAGAATAATAGTGAGATTACAAAACATTCATTTATTGACATCATAAATTAACTTCCTGGACTTATGTGATCTAGATTGTCATATCTAGGACAACTTTATTACTGCGAATTTGTTCCTCTTCCAAATCTTCTTTTGCAATTCTTGGCTTGGTTATGAAGAAAGAATCTAACTTTCTGCTGAAAGCTATTGACAAGACAAACGAGTCATTCTGTGGGTGAGCCATCGAGGAAGAAGTCGAGAAGAGGTAAAAGCAGATTGAAGGCGTGAGGGTGAAGGGATTGTCAGACTTAGCTCGAAAAGCTCCGAAGGGAACTTTACCTGAGGTTGATTAGAGGAAGGTGGTTCCGGTGGTCGATTCGTCGACAAGGACTCTCAATGAAGCCCCCACTCAATCAAATGTTGTGAGTGTCCCTCCTATCGACCACTCGTCAAACTGTTTGTGGTCACCTTCTCTCTAGCGAGATAAGATCGATTAATGGCTTCCCATCTTGCAACACATGTGAGTCAATATCATATGAGGTTAAGTGGATGTTAGTATGTGGTTGACTTTTGTTCCCTTTCTTCTTCATTTTTTGTTTATGGTTCGGTGTTGATGATTTTTTTTCTTTGCAGACGCGGACTCTTTCTTTGGGAAATTGATGGTCAATGTCGGAGGTCCAATCTTACGGGTTGTTCTGACTCTTGGAGCACTGGTCTTTGTTGAAGAGGATATGATTAGCCGACCTGTTGGCCCTATCTCGACCAGTGATGAGATCCTTGAGTCCAGTTGGCCATCTCCCTCCAGGAAGTCGTCTGGGGGACATAGATGTG